AATTTGGGGACCGATAGTCGGGCAAAGTACAGTTTAGGAAACGCACGATGTAGAGAATTTCCGAGACGTTTCATTAAAGATACGAAATTTCTACTACAAGAACACTCTATCTATCTGTGTAAATATATATATATATATGGTGCAGGACAGGTCTGGAGAGACAGAATTAACTATAATAGAACATAATTCTTTTATATAAGATATTCTATAAAATAATTCAAATGGTTGCCATACGAGAATGTGATGTAGAAATAGGCTTTCGAAAAATAGTGTCATAAAACCCGACGAAGCGTCTGCAAGCCCTTGATCGATTTGATCAGACCTGTCACTCGGAAGTTGCTGGTATCTTCAATTCGGCAACGTAATTTCTCCAAGCATTGGGTTTGGTCACAGCCGCTGCTGGCACAACCTCGGCCGAAAGCGAAACGACACAAAAAACACTGAGCTCACAGCACGGATTGCAAGGCAAACCTTCCGCAAGCCTTTTAAATATTCTTTCCACATTCTACTTTTGCGTTTCCAACTCTCCTTTCTACAACATGGTTTCGGTACTAATACACTGCTCTCCAAGCAGCGATGCACCCGCTCGCTGTGAACACACGCGATACACAACGGTGACTTCTGGTGAGGGGCATTTCGCCCAAAAGTACGATGTGGAGCAACAAAAACTGGTAAAGGACACTGCACGAGTAAGTTTGGAGCCGCCAGGTCTGACAGCACATCGTTTCGTTCGCATACTGGGCATGCCGATAGGTGGAACACTCGTCCCACAGAAGCTTCATGCATGTACAACATCTGCGTCTGTTCCAGCGAGCTGAGGCCGGGACATGATGAAGCCATGAGTCCTTTTGATGGCCTCCCACGCCGAGTGGGACGTTGCTTCGTGGTCCACCTGCGCACATGGCCACAGCTTACACCGGGACTGGGAGTCGAGGAAAGGTCAAGGTGAGCCCATGCAAGTCCACGTCACATAGAGGGTCGTACCCAAACCTCGAAAACAACTCCTTTCGAATGATGTGCAATCCCGACCCCTCGGAGCTCCGGCATGCACAGTTCTTGTGTGCTAACGCTCCAGTAGCCATTCAGCTGTCATCTCTTACCATGGGAGCCGATGCATTCCAAGTCTTCAGGGAGCAACAAAACTGCGGGACTCTGAGAGAACGCCTGCTCTGCAGCTGTAGAGTGCAGCTCGGTCGGTTTATCGGTCGCTTTGCTGCCTCGAATAGAATGTGAGGACCGGAAGGACTGCAAAGGGGGCTTGAGTTTCAGACACTTGCTTGGAGGCGTGAGGGCGCCCAGCAACTCTGTTAGGTCAACCCTTTCTGTGATCACTGCAGATGCGTTCCCGAAGCTTTTTTTTCTTTAAACTCCGGCTGCATGCCGACGCCGACTCCAATTGCACTCAAAATTCAGCTTCGAAGCCGCCGGACATGGGCAGAAAGGTACTGAGAAGCTGACCTTTGTGGGTGCTGGCCTTAGCGGAGTGAGCACGAAGACCTACTCCCTCCCAAGAAACATCATTAGACAACAGAGCAAAAAAGCAACTCTGCGATTCTCCGCTTCAACTTAAGATGTGCGCAGATTCTGCAAGCCAGGTCTAGGCTGTTCTTGGCCTGCGGCTCTGACCACGCAGCAGCTGAGCCCCGTGCTGCCATAACATCCGACATTCGACTGCCTGGGTGCCAGGGTGAAGCGTGTGTCAGGTCCCATGCTTCTTGCAGCTACTATGCGTCTGAATAGAACTGACTCCAGACCAATGAGGTTCCTGAAGCTCGCTGGACTGTGCCACCTGAACCATTTCAGATTTCTCACTAGAATGGCGGACATCAGACAAAAAAACGAGACCCATAACCAGGCTAGGATTTGTGAGTCCAGCCGAGGCCGCAAGTCTCGAAAACTCAGAGCTTTTCCAGCATTCCTCGAGCTTAGCTGCCTGGCTTCCGAAAAGCCGACTCTGCTTCCAAGACGCCATGCCGCCCCGCCGGGAAGACGAAACTCTTGCCCATCAAGGCTTCCAGCGGCCTTGGTTTGGTTTTGGGAGAGAGGTGGAGGGGACATGAGTACCAGAGCAAGCCTTACGACTCCACCAGCTCTGCAGCCCTTTAGCCCTCAATCTTTGAATTGAGGGCTGTTCCACAAATCAAAAAATCCGAAAGACTCTGCCCAACTAGGATCCTGACGACCTCCACGGCTTCAGGCAAGACTTGGCCAATCGGTCCTTGCCGTTGTGAAACCTGAGCCCGTCGAAGTCGAAGGTGTGCTCTCAGGGCTACAAGATAGAGATGCGTCGATATAGGATTCACCTTCAGCTTGTTTCTACTTCAGGGAAGACTCAGTGGCACAGCCCAGTGCCGCATTCACAGGAACAGCTTCTTCCTGAAACGGCACGGCAAGGGGGGAGGGGCGGGGCAGAGTAATCAGAATCCGGAACACAGCTTTGTTTCCGCACAGGCCCTGCTCAACCTCTCGTCGTGTAGAGTTCCTGTCTACCGACCCCGCAAAACGCACATCCCTTGGAGATGGCACGTGGGGCCAGGGGCCACGTCGCTGAACGCTGCTCGAGAAGTGGCGAAAAACTCAAGCTGCGGGTATCTCCTCATCCAGTTCACCAGATGTGCCTACTTGATCCATCAACCCACTGAATTGACCCACGATGATATCCTTAAGCGCCCACTCTTGCAGGCAGTTGGTTCGGTCGTTGACCTGATCTTCTTGTCCCTGCAACGCGTCCAAGATTGCTATCTTGTCTTCATGCACGCTGGCCGTCGCATCCAACACGTTCATCTTGTGCCTCTCACAGAAACCCGTAATCCTTTGCACCCACTCGTGCTCTGGGCTCACCAAGATTCCGACAACTGCATCTCTCCAATTAGGAGGCAAGCCAAGACAACGGACCAGCTTACCTTGCTCCAGCGCTACGAAGGCCTCGAACACGCACCATACACGTGAATACAGATTCACACGGTCGTTGAAAATGACAGCTACCTCGCTAACTGATTGAAGCACTCGAGCAAAAGGACTGTCTGCTGGGCTAGCGATTGCTCCCGAGATGTCTTCAGCTGTCATGTTCTGGTTCACGCCGAACGTGCAAATCCACGCGTAATCATCCAGAGAAAGCGGTTGCTGAGTACCAATGCCCGTCTCTAAGACAGCCAGGAAGTAAAGAAAACTCTCGGCCCATGCATGAGATATGAAGACTGTGGCCTTGCGCCCACCTACCTTGCGGTTGTAGAGCAATGCCAGGCTGATGTCCAGATCTTTGGTCAAAGGCTTGACATAGGACAAATTGACTTGATACATGTTGGCATCAAAAGTGCCCTTAGTGTCGCGGAAAAACATCATGTGGCTCTTCCCATCTGCACTCCGTTCAATGAAGTTAGCCTCGCAGAAGAGATCGTGACCGATGCCATATGCTATCCACCCAACTTGGACACCCAGCGCTTTTGCCTCGTCTCCGACTGCGCTGACAACGTGGTTCCCGTCAACCTCCAGGTTCATGGTACCAGACTCGAAATTCACCACACGCTCGTACCCAACGAAGAAGCCCTCTTGCCGCATTAGCGCCCGGAGGTGCTGGAGCTGTCGCAGGGAAATGGCCCAGTAGGTCGGGTCCTCGGGCATGCAGCCCGGACCCAGTTCTTGCAACTCCTCCGGGCTGAGCTGATTGAAACTATCTAAATCATCGGAAACCAGACCAGAGATAACCCGAGGTTTAGGAACAAGCTCCTTCAAGTCAATGCTTTTCGCAGAGTTCTCATCCACAGAAGCTGGGTTCAGGATCTTCAGTCCAAATCCAGCTCCGAGAGAGCTCTCATCCATGATTGCAGGCGTTGAGGTATACGAAAAGCGCTTGGGACCGCTGAAGCAACCCTGCACCTCAGTTGATGTGCACACATGACTACCGTAAACCGTTGAAGTCTGACAACTAAGGGCTGATCGCCACTCCAACATCCGAAAGGTGTTATATATATATATATGTGTTATAGTATATTATAGGTACTATATATATATATATGTACAGTATATATATATATATATACTGTGTTTGTTGAGGCTTGCGGCTTCACGAAAGACTGCAACTAAATCCGTCAGAGACGTACACAGTCGACGACTCGTGCGTTCGTGTTCAAATTGCAGTTCGATCGACTTTTCATGTGTTGCTCTTCCACAAGACTTCATGGTAGAGTGGCTACTTGTTTGAGGATGTACTATGTCGCTGTATGTATACAAAAAGCTAGGAGCAAGTGATCTGTATATACATATATATATATGCATATGTCTGTGTTATCTTTATATTTGTATATACACGTGTGTATATATATATATATGTATACTATGTATATACACATACATACATACATACATACATACATACATACATACATACATATATATATATATATGTGTGTGTGTGTGTCATGTGTATATATGTGCTCGGAATCTTTGCAGGTAGCACAAGGCAGCAACTTGTTACGCGGCTTACACAGCCACCAGAAGAGGGCGAGCCAACAACTGCCAACAACAGCTGCCAATAAGGGGTGCACCTTGCCAGAACGCGCCGCAGATCCCTCCGGAGTGACCTCCCACTTAGCCTCGAATCTCGGATGCTTGGTAGAAAAATCCAGCTGGCAGTCGTACCAAGAACCACTGACGCCCTCCCCGAGCAGCGTGATGTTCTTAGGGTCGCTGAGGTCAATGAAGGAGGTTTTGCCGGATTTGGCTTGTAGCTGCCACACACCCTCAAGACTCCAGCTTTTTAAAGGAGCATCGCTCTCGTAGCTCCCAGATTTCGAGTCTTGGTACCACACGTACATGACTGAGGAGTTCGGCGAGCTAGCCGAAGCGGTGCAGGATAGGAACTGTTGCTGCCGAAGCCCAGCGAGGGTTTCCATGGCATTGTCATAGAAATGGGCCCAAGGCGCTTCTGAATTCAGATCCGCCCAGCGCAAGCGCAGTTTCCCTTTGGCCTGCAGCTTCTTGCTGTAATGGGCGGAAAATGTCGGGGTTCCACCACTTGCTCGTTCCACCATGGCATTAATGCTCAAGATCTGACCGGATTGAACTCCTTGCTCCTCCAATGCTTCCACGATCTGGCGTGCTGCGCCCGACCACGTCTTCTGGCTTGCCTCCACAAACTCCACTCCGTCCAAGTCAGAGGGACTGTCCTTGTTGTAGAAAACATAGAAGACGGCTCTGTCGTCGGTGTTGCAGCTGCCAGTCATGGACACAATGTCTCTTCCATTGGCATCCTTGCAAGCTTGTTCGTAAAGCTCAGTGAATGTCTTATCGCTGTTCTGCGCCACGTACCCGATGTTTAGGGTGCCTTTGCTTGGCAAGTTCCGGCAGACATGTGCAGAGAAGATGGCTGCCTGGTTTTCCCCGTTGTTGTGTGCATCGATGCTCAAGACTTGTCCTTTGCCAACATCTTCCTCCAGCAACCTTGATATGATTCCGTCGGCGGCGGCATTCCACGAGCTCGCTCGGTGCTCAAACCACTCCGAATCCTCGAGGCTATCAGGATTTCGACAACCGTTTGATATTGCATGATCCGTGAAGACATAGGTCACAGAACGATCGCCTGCGTTGCAACATGCCGTCAGGCTCACAAACTGATCCGGAGCTGTGCGGATGTTGGCCAGCTGCCAGCAAGCTGTGTGGTACTGGTGGTCCCAGCTTGCTGCTGTATTCTGGCATCGGAACCTCAGGGTTTCCGCAGGTGGCCCAGGGCCCTCATCCCTCGTCCCCCCATCCCCTCTAGATGAGCCCAAAGCCCAAAGCCCCGAACTTGCACCTCAGCCTGGGCTTTCCATAGCCTGGCAAGGTCTTGGAGTAGTGCGCAGAGAAGATGGCAGCCTCGTTCCGACCATTGTTGTGGGCATCGATGCTTAGAATCTGGCCTGAAGCGTGACGAGCTCCGATGGACATGTTTAGACGTTTAGACTTGTGATGCCACCTACGGTAGGGCGAAGTGGTTGAGGCTTCAGGGCCTCAGATTGCGGAACAAGTCGGGGGATTCAGCACTACTCGGTTTACTCTGTTTATTTTCTGCGGATCGAAGTCTGGACGAAAAAAGCGGGGGGTTCCCCATTTCCCATGAAATCTGGCTTTGCGTGGGGAGGTTCCCGCCTGACTGAACTTCGCGCTCCCTGAGCTTCTTTATGATGCCATCAGCTGCCTCATTCCACGACCCCGCTCGACTCTCAACATGTTCCACGTTGTCAACCCCTGTATCTTCAGTGCCCTTGTTGAAGAAGACGTAGAAGACCGATCTGTCAGATGTATTGATACTTCCAGTCATGGAAATCACGTCCTTGCCCTCCGCATGCTGTGAGGCTTCCGTGTAAAACGTCTCCCAACCGCTGGAGCTATTCTGAGCGGTGTACCCAATGTCTAGCTCACCCCGATCCTCCAGACTCTTCAGGTAGTGTGCCGAGAAAATGGCCTGCTCATTTTCGCCGCTGTTGTGGGCATCAATACTCAACACTTGACCTTGACGAACGCCTGCCTCTTTCAACTTCTTGATGAGGCCGTCAGCAGCCCCATTCCATGAGCTAGCGCGGGACTCCACGTATTGAACTGTACTTGTCTGTGCCGACACCTGCCAAAAGGCGTACATGACCCGCCTGTGCATGTTGCATGACCCTGTGATGCCCAGGAGCTGCTCTTTGTGAACTGCTTCGACAGACTTGGTTACACCTTCGTACATCTTCTCCCAAGGAATGTCCTCATTCTGCTGCCAAAAGGCCAAATTCAAGTTTCCTTTCGAAGGCCAACTCCGGCAAAAGAAAGCTGCGAACATTGCTGCCTCATTTGGCCCGTTGTTGTGAGCATCGATATTGATTATTTGTCCATCTCTCACTCCTCTGCTGGAGAGCATCTTTATGAGACCCTGAGCCGCAGCATTCCATGAGTCAGCACTGCATTCCGCGTACTCAATCTTGTCCTGGTCCCTTGTGATCTCTGCATTGTAGAAGACATAAAATGCTGAAGTGCCATCGGCCTCGCAAGAACCCGTCATTGAGATGATGTCTTTGCCTCTTGCTTCGTCGCATGCTGTGCGACAGATCTGGTCCCATGAATCCGTGATTCCTGCCCTGCCAGAAAAACATAACTTCAGAGGGCCATTGTCCTGCAAGTCTGCAGCGTAGTGCGCTGAAATGATGGGAAGACCGTTGTCACTGTGGGCATCGATGGACAATAACTGTCCCTTGCAAACGTTGCGTTCCTCGAGCATTTTCAAAATGCCCCAAGCCGCTTCATCCCAGCCTGCGGTGCCTCCCATCTTGGCTTCGTATTGGATGGAGATGCTCTTACCAACTCCTTAGCGTAGCTGTTCATTGCAGCCTCTTAGAAGACTCATATTGGTCAATTGCACCATAACTATAAGCATAGAGTGTAAAAGCTAACAATCGCTCCAAAACAATCAAGACTCCATCGCACTCGGTTGTAGCTAAGACCCGCCTTCGGCGGGAGCGTCCAACCTCAGCATGAAGCCTTCTCGCCATCGCCGATCAAGTGCAATTCAGCTGAGGGCTAGGAGTTTACTTCTTCTCACTGATGCTATTTAGCTTAAGCTTCTTTTCGGTCTAACGTAGGCTTATTCCGAATTCGTGCTCTTCTCTGAGGCGTACTTATCATCGGGATGCCAACAGTCCATTCGTTTGGACTTCGGGCTGGGGCTTGGGGCGAAGCTGAAGACATACCTGAGCTTTTCGGATCTTCGTGCTCTTTGAGCCGCTGAGAACCGAAGTGTGTCGGACCATGCCCGGTCTGCATCTAAGAACGCAAGCTCCTCGTCTCATGACGCAGCCTATGGCCTATGCCTGTGCACCTCGGGAGGCACCCGGCCTGGCGTAGCATTTGTGACAATCATGTCCTGGAACATCTACTCAACCTTTTCGTGATATACTAATCACATACTAACCACCACGGTGGAGACCGAAGCTGCACACACCCTCGCCGACATGGGAACGATGAGTATGGAACCAGCGAACTGCATTTGATACATGCGACTCCCAAATTATGCCTCCTCCGAACCTAAAGACGCCCATCAGCCACCCAATCGTTTCTCCAAGTTCTGACGTTTCGCATCCATACATTGAGGCATCTATGCTCAGCGCATGGCTGCACTCCCTTGTCGGTGTTGGTGCTGCTGCTTCCCGAACTGCTGGGCGCCTTGTCCAGCCAGCAGAAAGTCAGGTTGGGGCCGAGCAGGGCTGAGGTGCAGTGAATGAACCCATGGGCCCGTGAGAAGCACTGTCAATAACTTTGACGACCCCTCATGCCATGGGCGGCCCCTGAACCCCGAGACCAGGAGCGCCTGCAGTCGGAGAGTCCGCACCTCAGCCCAAGGCAGTCTGCCGATCTGGACATCCCGAAACGACAGATACAAACATGAAAGCCACAGTGCTGCTGGGCAAGCATTCGGCATAATTCATGCATGCCTACACATGTAGCGCCCTTGCACCCAGATCGCCTGTTGCATCGAGCTCTCTGGCACCTTTCTGGCAAGTCCAGTCGGATGAGGGGATTTGATTCCGAAACTTAAAAACCTCAACAAAGGGATGTATCGCCGGCCACTAGCTTGTCGTCTCCTCTCACTGAGAAAACTTGCCCACAAGGGTTTCGGCAGGTAATCATCGGATTTCCGGTGGGCACCCGAACTGCAAGCACGGCTGCCTTGAACATCGCTCTTGGTGTTTAGGCTCGCCTTGAAATACCGCCCCAACCGACTGACTCCTGCAGCAAATTCAGCACCTTCGCTTCGGCGATGATAAACCGGCGGGTGCCGCTGTTGAGAGAGTCCTGGTCGAGTGGGGGCTTCGTAATAGACAGGGCCTGCGTTATTTACCCGTGTTTCGCTTGGTATAACAAAGATCCTGCAAATTGGGGTCTTTATTGAGGCCCAATTTTCTGGAATCCGGCACGCATGATGTGAGATGCGCAGGGTTCTGAAATCTGAAGCAACTCCTTTTTCCTGGATCCGGTGTGTTGCCAGACCTTGCCTGCTTTTTACGCGCGTTGACTAGCGCAGAGAGAGACCGGAGAAGCAGATCACTGATCATTGGTCGAAAATGAAGCAGTCTGGCAGAGTCTGGCCGGAAGGCGCAAATTCTGCAAAACAGGAATTTGCCTGATGGTGGGATGTGCTCCTTCCCGACGCATCTGTCAGAATCGTGCTGGTCTCGGGTGTCTTGGCTTCTCTTCCTCGTACTTCCAGGACCCGAGCCGTGGCGATGAACAGAGCGGCAGTATAGGCGCCAAAGCCTTGAAGTCGGATGGCAATCATGATCATCGAGCCAGATCAGCTGCCATGTGCCTGGTTCAGAACGCTGGCTTAACACTTTGAAGGACACCCTGGCCCTATCTGCGAATGGGAGGCAACAAAACTCTGACCCCCAAAGCCAAGAGAGGACCCAGCCTTGTCGAACACACCGTGCAGAGGTTCCACCACTAGGTTGTCTTCTTCAGCAAGGGGTTCACATTCTGCCGGAAGCCTGCAAGCGGAAATTTCCCAAACTTCACGCAGGGTGCGAAGTAGCTGTGCTGGTTCGAGTACACTTGAAGCAGATCTTCTTGCTGCTTTCGCTATCCAACCAGCCCCTGCCAGGCGGATGCTGTCTCCCAGCTTTAGTAGCGAATCGTAAACTTAGCCCCTGCTGCTGACAGGTGAGTTTAGTGCCTGTGCAGTTTTGGAAGTACCACTATTCGTATTGTGCACACAAAATTTCTGCAAAGGGAGGAATCGTTTCGACTAGCCTACGCGCCCTGCGTGCAGCCGAGTCATGCCTCCGCAAGGCCCGAATCCTCGAAAGCCCCGAGGCTGCAACTTGAGTTTGAATCAAGGAGCGATCGATGATCTTTGCGTACTTGGGGTCCAGGCTGGCCTGTCCAGGACCCACATGAATAGACAGACACACACACACATGCATTAACACATAGAGAACCATGTGTATGTACCATATACAACTGACTTTAGTGCACATAGCAGCTAGTTGCTTCTCGTGGGTATCATTCTCATCTCTCGGCGACAAGCGGATCGAAGAGTTGGGAGCTTACAGATGGTCTACGACGTCCGTTGGCAGCTAACTTCATAGATCCCGGTTCGAGCGTGCAGCAAGGCCAAGGAGATGGATGACTGCATCCGGTGAACAAGACACGCTGTCAGGCTTCATCAAGCACGATGTGCACTAGACCCCGAAATCCATACGTCGGGATCAACTTCGCAAGTTTCGCCAATACTCAGCCCAGAGACGACTCTACGAGTAATAAAGCCCAGAGTATCTAAACCCGTTTTTAACCCGTCTTAAAAGCTTAAATCCAAAACTCATGATATAGTAACAGAAACATAGGAGCCTCAATATGACCGGAGCTTTTCAAAACGACTCAGACCTCTTCTAGCTCGTTTAATCCAAATCCCAAAGCCTCGGCATCACCAGCCTCTCTCTCCCGCTTCAGCCGTGCCTGTTTTGAACGCTGTCTTGAGGGTCCCAGTTCTTTCACTTACGGGGCTTCTAGGGTGTATGGAGTCTTGAAGGATCAGGGTGATCCTCATGGCTAGGAAGTTTGGAAGAGCTTTACGTGCTGAGGACTGTGAGTTCAAGGTTCAGGGTTCCGGAAAGAAAGAGTAAGGCCTAAGGAATCGTGGTTGTGGCTGGGGTGGTGGCGCCATCGTCGTCGCCGCCAATGTCGTCGTCATAATGAAAAACTAGCACACTCTTATCTGTTCGGTGTTCATGCTATAGGGTTTATGTGTTGTTACGGATTTATGTTGCTCCGCCTTCAGGCGCCTTAGTGTAATTGATGGAGAGGGAATTCGAAAGGGCTCAGGGGTTTGGCAGTTGAAGTCTCAGAGCTTGGAAGGAGTAGCTTGGCTGGCGCTTAGCGTCGGAAGCATTGACAACCTTCAGACAGGAACCATATCATACGGTGTGTATATATATATATAGATACATATATGTATATCACATGTATAAACATATTCACACAAAGGTTAGTTATATTGGCATAGTTGTTACAGCTATTGGTATTGTTAGTTACCATTAGACTCTCATTATTATCACTGTCAGTATCGGTGGTGTTCTTGTTATACATTATAACAATACACGCACACACAATGGTGGATGGAAGAGCGCAAGTGTGTATGTATCATGAGTATACACATAACACAAACTACTTTGACCCCGCAACCTCCAATCCTTTCAATTCGTGGAGCATTCTACACGGGCTAAAAAACCCTGAACTCTAACCCTAAACCCTAAACCTAAGTCCGGGCCTTTAGCTCGGCGGCTTCTTTCTTCTCACCGCTGCTCTTCTGCACTTTCTTGCCCTTGGGGCTTTGGGGTTGAGGATTTGGGGCTCAGGGTTTAGGGGTCAAGTAGGTTAGGGGTTTGGGGTTGAGGGTTTAGGGCCTTCTGCTTTCTAGTTCGTTGAGCCCGAAGGCCTAAATCGCAAGGCGAACTGGCGCCTTCTTTCCCTTCTTGGATTTCGCCTTCTTCTCCTTCTTCTTTTTCTCCCGCTTCTTCCGCTTGGAGGAAGAGGATGAGCTGGAAGCTTCGCTCGACTGCTTGCCCTCCTGGCCTTGGCCTTGGCCGGTACTCTTCTGGTCCTTGTCCACCTTCCAAGGATTCGTCCCGGGGGGGGGGGGGGGGGGGGAAGGGGAACTGCTACGAAGGCAAAGCCCTCGCATTCAGAGACTATATAGCAAAGCTTGCTTCAAGTAGCCCCGCAATTTAGCGACTCTCCCGTGAGTTCGGCTTGGAAGGAGGCAGGCACGTGAGAATCGCGCCTCGTGCTGAAGCAGCCTCTTGCCGATGAAGGTGTTGAACATCTGCTTCCTCAATCTCACGTGACCGGTGCATCTGTGCGCTACCGCCACCGAGATCTTCGGCCCGGGAGCTCGAGGGTTCAGTTCAGCCGCTTGAGGTCTAAACAACGCTACTACTGCCGCTCGAGTCCACTGGAGCTCTCGACTTCCGACTCAACTTCTCCGTGCCATGGTCCCGGCATGTCGGGAGTTCTCTGAACTGGGGTCCTTTTTTTTATATATAGTAGGGATCTAAAAAGGGATCCTCATTTAGACAACTACCCATCTGAGGCCCCCCGCATGGTTCCAGCAGGATCAGCCACGTGGATTCCTTTGGACCAGGCCGCTGCTTTCGCAGACCTGGGCTTGAGCTTCGCATGCGCTCACTGAAGGGCTCCAGGTAGCCTCATCTGCATCATCTAGGAGAGTTAGGGGTAAAAACCAGGGAGAAGAAGTCTATTCTAGTAAAGTTGCACCAAGGAGTGCTAATAAGGAACAATATCGGTAAGAATTCGTGCCACGAAATTACCTCAGAACCTCATCCCATCTGAATACCTCTCGGCATCAGCAGGCCGGCAGTCTGCGAGCTGAGCAAGCTCAAGATGAAATTCACAGCAGGATAACTCTCTCCGGAATCTGCGAAGACTTAGAATCTCGTGTAGACAGCCCGGACACCTTTCGGCATTCTGCTCCAGCGTGGCCCCGAATTGGGGTAGTCGCTCAGAAAACGCATGCTCGAAGGCCATGACCGATGGTCTCGTCTGCTAGGTCTAATGCAAGTTACTCAGCTTCAGGGGGTGAGGCTTCAAAGGCTAATCACTTCTCCTACATAGCATGATGCATGCTGTCGCAAACCCACGTTGCTGTAAAGTCCGTCTATTCCCATAAACTGCTCCGTGCTGTTTGTCTAAACCTGGAGTCTGGAGCTTGGGCCTTATGAGAGCACCCAAGCGAGTTCGTGGGTTCCACACTGTGGTTTTGAGGGGCAACTTCGCAAAGAAGAAACAACCGAATTCAAGGCTGATTTTGGAGTTCATCCATCAGGAGGGCCCAGCCGTTGGCATAGTATGACAGAAAGCCGGTGACACTCCCCAAACCCCACGTAAGCTCTGGCTGACTCATGCAAATGCCGGGGCGAAGTCCTCGGCTTAATGCGCAAGACAAGGACTGTTTGCGCAACTTCAGGGTGCATTGCCAGTATCCACATCATGAAACCCAAAATAGACTCTCACAAGTTCTCCAAAGGAGCCCCATACACACTCACCAAGACCATCCAAGACCTGAAAAGAAACCGTACTCTGTAGCAGAGCGTCTGTAGACCTGCGACCTTAAAGCCTAAATAAATACAAAACTGGCAGGAGCTTCGTTCCCAAACACCACGACAGCTTCCCAAACAGACAGTGTTCACCATAGGTCCTTTAGCAAGATGTCGACTGAAGATGGGCAGGCACAAAGACAGCCAAAAGAGACGGGCAGAGAGACAGAGAAAGAGAACAACAAGAAAAACAATGACAGGAGGAGAGAGCGAAGGAAGGGCAGAGGGAGAGAGAGAGGGAGAGAAAAAGTAGTAGAAACAGGCTAAATAAAACTGGCAGTAGGTACTTCAACCAATGCCAGGCATATTCTGTCATGGGCCGTTGGTTCAGAGTATGCGAAGTCGATGCATGCCTCCTGCTTGTCAACACAATGTTGCCGTGGCACCTGGCACATCGTGGCATGCCGACAGGCCAGTGCATGAAGCTTTCCGTAGCACTCACCTAAGAAACAGGTTTCGGTCTTTAGCCTGAGGCAATCAGAGGTTGATTTTGAACTTTTAAGTTGGAGACTTCTAAGCAGCCTTTCCCTGGTCCTGGCCTGGGTTGATCCAACCTTTCCAGCATACGCCGCTGCATGAAACCAGCTCTTAAGACTTACAGAAGCCGCAATGGAAGCCAGAGCCTTCAGAGCGGCACCGTTCCTCAGAGTGTGTAATTCGCGGTAGTAGGTTTTGGAGAGCGGGGAGCGATGAACAGTGGTTCCGCAAGAATCCCCTGGCCTTTGATCTCTAAATCTAGCCCCTGAAACCTTCAACTTGCCCAGGCACCCTTTGGAGAGTATTGTTTCCACACTCTTATATTCCGCATCCATCTTGGTAATGACAGTTATGCTGCGGCAATCTCGCACTAGATTTGCAAGTTGAGCTACATCACGGCGGCTACTGTCCCGAGCTTGATTCCGCGGTAGTCCCACAAAGTCAACTGATCCGGACTATCGCTTGCCATCTTCTGTATTTTGCGTTTAGCTTTTCCAGCCTACTGCCGTGATTGTGGCCACTTGCTCTGGCGCAAGGAGCCGTGGCGGTTGCAAGTAGTGGCAGTAGGCGTCGTCGTGGTAATCGTAGTCGTTTTGGTGGTGGTAATCGTCGTGGCAGTGGTAGTGCTGGTAGTATGTAGTAGTGGTGGTGGTGGTGGTGGTGGTGGTGGCGGTGGTGGTGGTGGTTATGGTGGTGGTGGTGGTGGTGGTGGTGGTGGTGGTGGTAGTGGTGGTACTGGTAGTCATAGTGGTGGCCGTCGTCGTCGTCGTTGTAGTTGAAGCAGTTGTAGTTTGATTGGTAGTAATGGTAGTAAACCTGTAGTAGTAGTAGTAGTAGTAGTAGTTGTTGTTGTTGTTGTTGTTGTTGCTGTTGTTGTAGTTGTAGTTGTAGTTGTAGTTGTAGTTGTAGTTGTAGTTGTAGCTGTAGTTGTAGTTGTAGTTGTAGTTGTAGTTGTTGTTGTTGTTGTTGTTGTTGTTGTTGTTGTTGTTGTTGTATTAGCAGAAGTAGTGGTAGTCGTCGTCGTCACCAGTCGTCGCAATAGCAGTGGCAGTAGCAGTAGTAGTAATAGTAATAGTACTAGTAGAAAGACGCCGGTTTTGCCGGGAGGATCATTCACTTAACCCTCAACGCAGAAACTCTAGCTAGTACCGCTGGGCCCATAAACCCGGAAGCAACCGTGTGCCTCATGGATCGCTCGGTCACGGCCAGCAGATGCTCGCAGGGAACTGGACCAAGCACTGTGGTGCCTGGTTGTGCGGCTTAAGGCCGCTTCTGGCTTTCGGGGCCTGAGTCTTTCATAGGTCTTGTGTTCTGCAAGATTTGGATCTCTATCTGAGTCGCGTAGATAAGGTGTGATTCTGGATCTGCCGTTCCGACTATCTGAGGCCGTGGTTGAAGACTACCGGCAAATCTTGGCTGGCATCTGGTCCACCCGAGTTTTCGTTGGCTTGCGCTCGGCGGTTCATGGGCATAGAGCTGTTGGATCCGTGGACGAAAGGTGTCGGGGCTTCGTCCGTGAGGGTTTGCATTTAGATTTGAACAGCAAGGGCCAGGAGTTCTTGCTTGTAGCTGAAGAGTTGGATGGCTTCACTTCCCCTGATAAATCGGTACCTCTAGACTGAAGTCATGGGTCAGGTCAGACCCTGTCAGTCAGAAGAGTCGCGCGCCACGCATTACATGAGCTCTACAGGAGCCGAACAAAAACCGAATCACCCCTGCCCCAAGCAAACCACGTTCCTAAATGGGGGTTTCTGAAAATAGGGGACCCTAATATAGTACCCTAAATAATAGGATCCCTATTATAAGGACCCCAAAATAAGGTACCCTAATTTTCTGAAACTCCCAAATATGACCAAAGCGCCAGAAAGGCAGCTGCCGTGCCCTTGCCCCAGGTCGCGAGCGGCGCTCTGCGGGCGTCAAGGCCTGCCCAGCTGCTCGCTCGCTCGCTAAACATGCCCGGCAATGTTCCATATATAGATTTTGATTTGTTCGATTATGTGTATAAAAATATAATATATACATACACATAATGTATATATATATATATGTGTATATATATATATATATATGTGCATACATACATACATACACACATACATTCCCTCATTCATGCAGACGTACGCGCGTCGTGTAGGCAGCAGGCCGGAGCTGTCCAGTTGACAGGAAAGAAGAACAAGTAAAGCAGTTCGCGGCCAGAGAGCGAATCAAACCAGCATAACATGCAAGCAATTAGCATCATCCCGATCCTTGGCTCTGAACGAACTCTTCGAACAACGAACACAAACCCTCACAGTCAATTTGCCTCCTCGCCGACGGTGGCCTGCAAACACCTCCGGGACGAGTACATCGGCTGGTTTGCTTCTTGTGGGCTGCGGGCCCAATTGCCGGTGGAACCTGAGCTAGTTGAGAACCTTCCCATGACCCCGAACATCCTTAGGGTCACGGTACCACCAAGCACATTGCTACGGATCCCACGCCGCTAACACACGCACTTTGCCCTTGCTCCCTTGCCCTCGACTTCACAGTGCGATCCTCGTCGCAGCTTCCCCAAGTCCAAACAACTTGAGAATTGTCCCTGGTCCATGATTACCAACCCTGGGGCTTCTGCTTCGAGATATAGCCCACCCTTCCTAGAAGTTGTGTGGCAGCACAGTATGAATGTCACGTCGTGTCCGAAGCTCGAGAGCCCGGAACCGAAAGCCTCCTGTCAAGTTTGACAAGAAGCCCCACATGCCTTGAACTCTGCGTGGTACCCTGATTTAGGGTCCAACACCGCTGGGAGCACAATGTGGCTTCTAGCCATGATATATTACAAGTATGCACAATCATCATCAATGTACCTCGCCAAACCAAGCCCTTTAAGTGAAATGTCCAGGGCAGACACTGAAAAATCAAGCTGATCCCCAAATGGAAGCGATGTTTGCTGCTGAATTCTATACAGGTAGTTGGGCATACGGTGCCTCCTCTGCAACAATGACCAATATCTGACATTTTGCTCCATGCGTCCAACTTACAGCACCTGGGCGCACGCTTCGCACGGAAGCGAGGTTCCTTGGAATTGGACTTCAGCAGGGGTTGCAGTCAGCTCCTGCTTCACATACTACCCTGACTAGGGCGACCAAGGTTTCTTGCATGCACTTCCAGAGATCAGGTGCTTCGCTCAGCTGATGCCTTTCCTGCGACTCTACATGGTCCTTCGCACTGCGAAGACTAAGAAGCAACTCTTCTCTGGTAGCAAGCTTGGGTTGGCTTAGATCTCGGCTGGGATCACTGCTGGCGCCAGCGTCTCCTCCAAAGCAACCAAAGTTCCAGTCGATGGTGCTGGATGGTGCTGGATGGATGCTGCTGTGCGAGCTGCCAAGAGGATACCCACAGACACGGCAATGAAAGGAGATCCCCTCCAGACTCAAGACCATGAGATGACAAAGTGCCAGCCATTCATAATCTAATCAGGAGCAACAAAGGTAAGAGTCTCGCCAATTGGAGCGATGCACAAACTCGTGTCACAATGGCGATTGTGCATGCAGCAGAACTTGGTAGAACTATGACGGGCCGTCAAACAAAACATAAGCTAAACAAGAGCCAAGAACGATACAGTATGACTCAAGAACGTCACTTTGAGTTGCGGATGCTTGAACGGCCAAATCTGAACCTTGCACCTGCGATGTGCGAGGATAATGGGAATGCGAAGCCGATCATCCCACACACCCTGTGCTGCGTTCGCACGCAACCCGGAACCATGATGCGTGGTGCTCCTCCAGACGAATTGGAGGCAGCGATCGATTTCCGTGAGCATCTTGCAGCCTCACTCAGATCATCTAGAATCTAGGCAATGTAAACCACTGACTTGTCAAACCCTGCCTTTTTCACGGCTCCAATGCTACGATCCATGTCGAAATCTTGGACCGTTTATCAGAGGTCTACATTCCTAGATCAGCCTAGATCAAAGGGCCA